AGGAATCAGAAGGTGACTTTGAATTCCATGAAATTAGAGTTATGGATGATTATGAACCATTATCTGAGTGCCAGGAACTGAGCTTAGGTCCTCTGCATGAGCAGCCAGTGCTCTTAACTGCTGAGCCATCCATTTCTCCATGCCCTGGTTTATAACCTTTGGTCTTCCTGTCCCAGCATCCTGGGAAGCTGCTGTAGCTATAGGTATACACCACCCTTAAATAACCCTCCTGAGTGTTTCTAAGACTGAGTTCTAGTCCTTAAACACTGAGCTTTTCTTTCTGCTCTGGGCATCCTGTCAGCTTCTGATCCCTTCCTGAAATGCAGAGCAATGGTTCCCAGCAGTGCTGTAGAATACCAGTACCTAGAATGTGTCACATCATCAATGACCTCAAGTAAAACCTTAAATGCGTGTGGTACACACAGCTGTAACCCAGTACTCAAAAGGCTGAGACAGGATGATAACAAGCTCCTTGCCAGCTTGGGCCATGTTGTAAGATCCTGTCTTAAAGAATAAGATAGTAGGGACTAGGGAGTTGGCTCAGCAGTTAAGAGCACCCTCTGCTCTTGCAGAGGACCCAGGTTGTATCTCCAGCATCCATATGGCAGTTACAACTGTCTGTAACTCCAATTCTATGGATTCCAGTGCCCCTTCTAGCTTCTGTGGTCTCCAGGCTAGCAGTGGTGCATATATACATACATGCAGACAAACACTAATGCACATACAATAAAAATTAACAAATCCTTTAAAAAATAATAAAAGTCAGATACATCTGCAAACTGCTACAAATGCAATGGATTCAAGATTATCCTAAGAAATGCCTTTATTTTTTTTTTTAGTTACTTTTCTTTTGAGCGCTCCTTTGAGTGGGAAAGAAGTATTCTGATTGCAGATCTTATCACAGTGCTCATGGGTTATTTTGTACTTCCACTTCCATCTTCCCTTTTGATGAGATGGCTCTTGAGCTTGGAAGATGCCAGGAACATTTCCACTTGTCATAACGCAACACTTAAGATTACTGGCAGCCAAAGCATGAAAGGAAATGCTCGATAATGGTATTATGATTTCAAAAATGTAATCAAGTTCATTATTTGCATTCTCTGGTGGTCTGCACTTGATCTCTTATACTAGTATCCATGTCTCCTAAGGAATAGGATGATGAAAAGCGAGTCACTCAAGAAGATGAAGTGTTTTCATAAGAACACCTTTGAGTTTTACAATTGCTGCACGATTGATCACTTTGATTCCCTTACTCAATAATTTCTTTTCCCCACTTCCCCTTCCAAAAAAGGCGTGTCAGACTCATTGTTCCTTTCATCAAAACTTTACCCACCCACTTGTGTGTCACTCAAAGGAAGGTCATCTCCCTGCAAGTTGATGAATTCAATGCCAAGGGATACTGCCTTTGGCCTAATTCCTAGCTGATGGCAACCATATTTTGGGCTTTTGTGGCAGCAACACATTTGCACTTTTGTATTAGGAGGCCAAACATGGCTGAATGCTATGGTAATAAAGGAAAGGTGCTCCTGATCTCATGAATGATCTTCCTAAGTTGGCTCTTGCTGGCAGAGTGGTATAGAGATTGTGTTCCAAAAGAAGGGCCTCGCCAGCAAAGCAAGGTCGGGGGCAGGCTACACTAGAAGCTCAGAGAGACCAGCTAGAGAGACCACTAGTCCACTTGCCGATGCTGCCAATGCTTCAGTGTTTTGAGCTATAAAATAAAGATGGTAACCACTAAGCACCATGCCCGGCATATACAGATAATGAAACATGTTATCTACAAAGCTGACATAAAATAGGGCAGTAGAAGCCCAGTGTGGAGGAACAAGACAAAACACAGGAGATGCAGCTTCATTGCCAACTGAAGCCACTTCTGTGTTGGAAGGTCCCTTGAGCCTAAATTTTCACTGAGTGCTGCGTTTCAACACTAGGGCGCCAACTGATATAGATAGGAAGCAAGCTGCACTATAAATTTAGCATTTCCAATTCAGTCTGAAGATACTTTTGGTGCTAATGTGTTTAGAACACATGGAAGACTTGTGAGGAATTCAAGGATAAGCTTGGCATGCTCCAAGCTCTCCTGGGAACTAGTCTGGGTAGGGAGGAGGATGCAGTACCCACAGTAAGATGCAGATAGAACAGCCATGGTCACTGTTGTCCTTGACTGGCTTAGCTACAATGTAGGATAAGTGTGGAGCGGGGAGGTCTAACTCCCATCTGTCATCATGAGAACATGTTCATTTGCTATATCTCAATGTGTCTTCCTGCCTCTGCTCTTGAGTCAGGTTCAGCTCCATCACTTGAAGACCCATGAAGTGGCTCTGGCCAAAGGGGCAGCAGACAGAAGATAGAATAAACTATGTACTTTGGGAATGGCACTGATAAAGGACATGTCACAGAGGGTTTGACAGGTTAAAATCTGCCACATAAATGGGGTTTAGATTGGGGCCTGGAATGCAATGACTCATTACATTCATACCTTCTACCTAAGGATTGTGATTTTCAATATTCAAAGACAGAGTAGGCAAATGACAACTGTCAATGAGCAGTGCAGTGGCTTGTTCAATATGTCCAGAGGGGACACTCTCCTAGAGGGATGGCTACAGTCATGCAGCCATCATGTCAGAGCAATGCTATCCCTACTGGCACACGAGTAGATATGGCCAATGTACAACTGAGGCTACAAGGAGAACATGATCCCCAAATCTGCTGCTGGGAGTCGTGCTGTTGGCCCAACCAGCCATTGGCTATGCTGAGCATGACTAAGACCCTGGAGGAGGCAGCCACAAGTCCCCAAGAACTTCAGAGTGACCCACACTCCCTGTATTGAAGCTTATAAAAGACCTCTGGCTATGACTATGAGAAACATCAACTATCTAAGAAGCTTTCCACTCATTTTCTTCCTGTAAAGGTATGCATTCCTCCAGGCAGGTGGAAAGATATTATGGGCTTCAGGGGAAAATACATATATCTCATGAGGCTACTATGAAGAACCTCATTAGAATTCAGCCCATTCCTGCTGTGCCACCCATGGACATGCCTATATTTGTAGCAAAGGTGTGGAGTCCTCCAGCTACATGTCTTTGAAGAGATAGCGATTATTTGGCACCAACCACACAATAAGCAGGCTTAGGAGTGACATTGGCTTTAGGGTGGGAAGGATGGTGTCCTAGTTTCATTTCTGTTGCTGTGATCAAAATACCCTGACACAAAACAATGACCTGGATTTCTCCATGCTTCTTTTTCTCATTCCCTTTTAAAGATTGCACATGGCAAGTCAAAGCAAATGACTGAAGGTCCCACAACCTACCTCATTTTATCAACATAAACTTATTTTTTTTATTAAGGATAGCAAATAGGTGATTTGTATTTGCTCACAATTCCAGGTTACAATCCATCATAGCATGGAACTCAAGGTGACAGGAATTTAAAACATCTGGTCAGATCACATCCACAACCAAGAGCACAGAGAAATGGATGTATGTGTGCTTGTTACTCAGATACCTTTCTCCATTCTTATGCAGTCCAGGATTCAGATTCAGGGAATGCCGCCACCTGCAGTGGACAGGGCCTTCCCACATCAATTAATTTAATAAAGACAATCCCCCAGAAACATACCCACAGACCTAACTGATCTATCAATCCCTCATTGAAACTTTTCACAGGTGATTCTAGAGTGTGTCAAGTTGACAATTAAAATTGACCACCTCAAAAAAAAAAAATGACCACCTCAGTTGGAGATAAGATGAATGCACAAAAATATATATGAAACATATATGCATATATATGTGTATGTGTGTGTGTATGTGTGTTGGAAACTGTGGTGTCACTCACTCTGCCAGTGACCTCAGGGATTATCCTAGGGAGACTCAAGTTAGTAGCATGGTAGGATGGACACAAATAGGTCTTTAAGGAGACACCTGTTGGAGAGTAAATGTTCTCCTCAGCATCAGAGAGATCCTATGGACTTTCTAAAGTTCCCTGGAGTTTGGGCATAGCAACAGCATGAAATGAACTTGGAAAGATGACAGGCATTGGTCACCAGAGAAAGGCATGCACAGCACCAATCCAAGATCATGACTCAGAGGTGTGGGGTTAGTGGGTGATACCCTTCTTAGTGATTTATTCATTCACTACATGTTTAGAAAAATGTAAATATTAACAACCAAATCAATGTAATTGAAAATTTAATATAGCTGTGAACTTCTGGATCTTTGGCATTTTTGTTTCCGATAATGCTTAGAGGTAGATTGCTCTTTTAGAACATTAATGTTCCATGAGCAACTGGTCAAAATGCAACTTGCTAGAACTACAAATGGTAATTTAAACACCTGCCATGTTTTCTCATGGACCATTACTCTAAAAGACTGAGACGATTTGATTCTTTCCAAGGATTGTGAGGTTGGGATCTGTCTTATTTACTTTTCGTGTTGTGATAAAATACCTAAACAAAGGGAAATTAATGGAAAAGGGTCAATTTGGGCTCACAGTTCAAGGGTACAGTCCAGCATGACAGAGAAGTCCTGGCAGTAGGAGGTTGAGGCAGCCATACACATTGTAGCCATGCTCATTCAGGAAGCAGCTTGAGATGAACACCTGTGTTTGTCTCGCTTTTTCCTCCTTTTTCAGGTTAGGACCCGAGCCCATCAGGTATGCTCATGGTTAAGGTGTGTTTCCTACCTCAGCTAATGTTATCAAGATAATTCCACACAGGCTTACCAAGAGCTCTGTCTCCCATGTGATTCTGGACCTCACTGTCAATCCAAATTGACAATTAAGATGACCATCCCAGGTGCCACCCCAGGCTCTATGACTATAGATTTCCATCTTCCACAGATGACTTCACACCATTCTCCTTCCATGTTGGCATCCCAATGGCCTCTTGAGGCCACCACACATATAGTGGATTAGGGTCCATTCTATAGACCTTGCTTTGATTTGATTCCTTCCCCAGTGACCTTCATTTATACTTACAGTTATTTTCTCTTTCTCTTTTAAAGATTGCACGTGGCAAGTCAAAGCAAATGATCGAAAGTTCCATGAACAACCTCATTTTATGAATACAAAGTTCTTTTGTATTAAGGAAAGCAAATATGCGGTAAGTTAATGACAAAATTATTTTTATAGTAACCCATGTTTGCCTAGTCAATGTCATGCTTGTCAGCTTCAAACAGTACCTTCCGTCTAGGTAACTACTATCCTGGAGCTGTTGCTAACCCTCTCCCATTCTACAGAATGTAATTTTTACTAAAGTTAACTACCCTGAAGGTTGGTAGGTGTGCCTTGATACAAAATAGAATAATGTCCATGGAAACATTCCCTGTGTAGCAGCAAAGTTCTTGCTAAAATATTTTATGAAAATTATAAAATATTATCACTGAAGATTTTTTAAATAACAATTTGACTCTGCCTTGGATGGATTTAGAGACATCAAAGATATTTTCACTAAAAATTCTTATTTTCTTTAAAATATGATAAAGCATATAGATGAGTAGATGCACAGATGGCTCAGTAATGAAGAGCTCTTGCTGCTCTTGCAGAGGACCCAGGTTCAATTCCCAACACCCACATGGCAGCCCACAATCATCTATAACTCCAGTTCTTAGGAGTATGACACCCTCTTCTGGCCTCTGCAAGGACCAGGCATACATATAGTACATATATGTACATGCATTCAAAACATTCATACACATAAATAAAAATCAATAGCTCTATAAGAAAGAACACAGGCAAGTCTTAGTTAAAAGCAGAGAAAAAAATTATTTAATGTGGCCAACTCGAGAAGAGTAACAATTAAAGCAGTCTAGTGACTTTGCAAGTTCATCTTCCAGATCTTTCTGTGAGGTTAAAGATAACTAGAGCACAGAGGTATGCATAACTAAGCCATCCTGGTCAGCATGTTGCCCACCCATCACTGACCCATCATTGGGATGGTCTACTCAGATCTAAAAGTTGATCTGACAAGTTGTCCTAACTGTGTGAAATCTCTTTCCAGGAGAGAAATTCCTTCTCCACCATGAGAGTGTAGGGACAATTCCAATTTGGGGGTATCATTATTTCAATAGTTTCATAGCCAAAGAAAAGGGTATAGGTGCTCATTCTTAGACTATCTTTTCTCCTGTGGACCATTAGAATAACACAACTGTGTGGCTTAGGAAACCGAACATTATTTTTTAATAGTTTGGGGAGTTGGAAGTCCAGAAACAAGACACTGACAAGTTAGGTTCCTTATGGAGAATCTTGGGACTAGATACATGCCCATCCCAACATCTGATGTTGCCTACAATACTTATCATTCTTTGGCTTCTAACTATATCACTTCAATCCCTGCTTCGGTCTTCTTCCTGTGTGTCTCTGTATCCAATTGCCCCCACCTCCCTATAAGGGCACCAGTCGTTAGTTTATAACTCACCCTGATCCACTGTGAAGTCATCTTGATTTCATCTATCTGCCAGGACCCCATAAACAAGTGAGATATCTTGTTAACAGGCGTTAGAATTGGGTACTAGTCTATCTTTTGGAGGACCCAATCAACTTGTAAGAATGGATTTGCTCTTTCTGACATAGTGGCCTTCATCTTCCCTTAGTAAAAGGAACTTTCCTGCTCTGTTCATGTTGTCAACCAACTTTGCCCCAAGTTCTAAGGGGTCCTATGGATCAAGAAATGTGACAGCAGGATCCATAAGGCACAATCTGGTGTCTGTGTCTTGTGATCTAGACTCTTAAAGTCATTCCAAGCCTGGGTAGAATAAAATACTTGAAGAAAATCTCAGCATTCTTCTGACTGGAGAGATATGGCCTGGATTTTGACAGGATGTGGAAACAGTCATTAGTGCAGGTTCGAGTACTTATTGTCTGGAACCATTTGGAATAACTCTTTCTTCCCCCCAACAGAATAATGCAATTAAAACATACAAGTACAACGGATTTACCTTTCTACCCATGAATTTGTTTGAACAATTTAAGCGAGCAGCCAATTTCTATTTCCTGATCCTTCTTATCTTGCAGGTAATGCCCTTTGATGACTTGAATCTGTTGTCAGTGACGTACACTGTAGGTGTGTGTAGACAGTGCAGCCAGTAGACAATCTCAACTGTGTTGTATATTTATATCAGGGTTTTCTACATAAGGGACCTGTGCCATGTGTGCAAAACCAGCTCAGTGGGTGTTTGCAGAGAATAAATGGGAAAAATATTATTCTGATTCTATTTTGTGATTTTGTTTCAGATATGGGGGGAATTGAACTTTGAGCCTCATACATGCTCTACCCCTGGGCTACATCTTTAGCCCTCTTTTTTACTTTTTCAATTTGAGGCAGATTCTCACCTACTTGCCTGGGCAGACCTTGAACTTGCAGTCTTCCTGCTTCAACCTCATAAGTAACTAGGATAGCAGGCCTGGACTAGCAGACATGGTTTAATTCTGTTTTCAAAAAGAACCTGATTTTGTACTGATGTACTAAAATAAATAATACCAAAATATTTATAAAATCATTTGTACCTTAAAAGTAATAGGGTTTTTGTTGTTTGTTCTATATTTGTCCTTTTTGTTACTTAGTTTTTCCATAAGAATACTATTGACTCTTGATTGATAATTTGTTCATAAAGCTTCTAGATTACTTTTGTGAATTGGTTTTACATTAGAAACAAAACACTTTTTAAAAAATAGCCAGAGAGTCCTTATCTGGAGCTTTAGACTTTTATCTGTGTAGAAACGGTTACTATAATCAAAGGGCTCTACACATTTTAGTTAGTGCTCAGAATCGACCTTTAGTACCTGATATGTGAGTTATAAAGATAACGTAGTCAGTTGGCTTAATCAGATTCTGTATCACAGGGGTTGGATTGGAAACCGAAACTGGGATTTCTTAATGAAGCTTTAAAACATAGTAGATGTATGTCTGAGAGAGATGTAGGGTATGTGGAGCAGAAAGTATAGAAAAAGGAGGAAAGACACTAGGAAGAAGTGGTTACTCATCAGATACGGGGAGACAAAAAACCTGATAACTTGATCAGAAAGGGTGTATCGCCAGGCAAGTGTAGAGATGTACACGTCAATTCATGTTCGGTTTCTCTGTGGTCAATGGGCTGCTTTCCTTTCATCATCTTCTAGAAGGAAGAAAGCAGATTCACATTTCCATGATACAGCTGCAGCCTTTTTGCTTTCTCTTAAGGTGCAGCAATCTGCATTAGGGAGACAGCAACAGACAGGCTATTTGCCTGCTTACTTGCTGTCTATGAGGTAAACACCAGCACATACTCCATCTTGCAGAGAAGAGCTGAGGCTTAGTATGGTAAAGTAACTTGCCCAAAGTCTAAAATCCTGAATGTGGAGAGCTAAACAATGCTGACCACAGGAGATTAACTTCAAAGAACCAGATGTGATCCAAAGATCAGCAAAGATTCTGAGAGATGTTTATTAAAGATGTTTCCCTTCCACCTGAAATACTATTTTGATCCAACAAAGGAGCATCCTTTGTTGCCTGTGCCAGGACCAATGACCATGATGGGAGCTTTGCCTAATCAGTGATCTTCAGAAGCAGCCATCCCTATTACCATCTTGACAGGGTTTCTCTGTGTAACCATCATGCTGTTCTGGAACTTGCTCTGTATACTGGGATAGCCTCAAGCTCACAAGGCTCTCCCTGCCTCTGCCTCCTAAGTGGGGGAATTAAAGGTGTGCACCACCACTGCCCAGTCCTACTTTGAATTTTTACCAAACAGTTTAGAGTAGTTATGATGCAAACTCCCTTTGATGTCTAGTTAAAGCCACAGTAAGATAATATCTGGGGCCACTGTCTGCCAGACTGTTTCATATGCTAGAAGCCAGAGAGCCAGCAGAATGGCTCTTAAATGTCCATTCCTCAATGTGCTCCAGACTTGTTCAATGATAGACATTAGGATTAGCAAACTTAAAGTTAAGTATCCATTACTTATATGTTAGCTGTGTTTTCATGGGAACGAGTATATGCAAGTTTTCCTTTTCTTTTAGGCAATTCCTCAAATCTCCACCTTGGCATGGTATACCACACTTGTACCCCTACTTCTGGTGCTAGGCATCACAGCAATCAAAGACCTGGTAGATGATGTGGTAAGGATTTCTCAAGCCACTTTCTTCCTATTGTTATGTCCTTACTGACATTTACCATTAATGCTTTATATATTGAGACAATTCAAATAATACTTTCTCATCTTCCTTCCAAAGGCTCGCCATAAAATGGACAAAGAAATCAACAATAGGACGTGTGAAGTCATTAAGGATGGCAGGTACCTATTTTTAATTTAGCTACAAAGATTTCATGTATAAATACGTCTAGAAGCATGTTGAAAAATAACTAGGAGAACCTAGAAGTCTATAGCACATTAACTCTGTGTGTGTGTGTGTCTCTGTGTGTGTCTGTGTGTGTGTCTGTGTGTGTGTCTGTGTGTGTGTCTGTGTGTGTCTGTGTGTGTATGTACATGAGTGCATGTGCACATGGTACCAGATCTATGTTGGGTGTCTTCCCACAGATGCTATGCCTTTCTTTTGAAATCATGTCTCTAGAGATTCTGGGGCTAGCCAATTCAGTTAGACTGACTGATAAGCAAATCCAGAGTCTGCTTATCTCCACCTTTGTAGCACTGGGGTTACAAGAATGCATTGCCATCCCTGGCTTTTCCACATGGTCTCTGGAAATCAAACTCAGTCCTCAAGACTGCACTGTAAGCACTTTACTGACTGAACCATCTCATCAGCCCAAGTACATTAGTATTTTAATGGTGAGTCATCTCTGATAAAGAGAGATGTTACCTCACCTTCAATCCTGTGTGTAGGTGGAGTTCTCTGTCTAGACTGCTGATCAGCTCTACTCTGACCTTTGAGACTGTGTGTAGGTGGAGTTCTCTGTCTAGACTGCTGATCAGCTCTATCCCGCCAACCATTCCCCCAAATAACCACACAGAGACTTATTATTAATTATAAGTGCTCAGCCAATAGCTTAGACTTGTTTTTAGCTAGCACTTATAACTTAAACTAACCCATTTCTGTTAATCTATGTGCTGCCCAAGGCTTGTTTACCTCATCTATGTACTTTCCATGCTGTTTCTTCCACATTAGGCTGGCAACTCCTCTGACTCCACCCCTCTTCTTCCCAGCATTCTCTCTGCCCCCCCCCATTCTGTGTAGCCATTGGCCAATCAGCTCTTTATTAACAATGAGAGCAACCCATCTTCACAGTATACAGCAGCTGTGAAACTGTACCCAAATTGGATTATATGTAGTTGCTAATTGGACTTGTGCTACCAGGATATTGAGGACTTACATGAGCCTGCTGCCTCCAGTGTGCTGCTTCTACCTCCACCAAATGTGTCCTCTGCAGGCATGTCCCAATACCTTTCCTAATTACCACCCGAAGTGATTTCTCCTTCCCCTCCCCTCTCAGACCTTTAGAGCTCATCTTTTTTATGACATGAATTGTATTATGATTATATGTGTAGGTGTCTCATCTTCTGACACAGACTATGCCCTATATCTACAAAGAAAGTAGTCAAGAAACTCTTGTTCAAGAAACAGAGAATGCAGTCAGCTCTGGCCAAGTCAACAAACTGAGGGATCAGTAATGAGTTGTTTTATAAGCAAGATCCTCAAGGAATGAGTCCAAAGTCAAGCACCAAAAATAGGAATGAAGGCCCAACTCAAAAGACTGTTTAATGTGTCCACAATTAAGAAAATAACCCAATTTACAGCCACATATCCTCTGCACTTAGTTCAAAATAGGAGCCACCAAGTTATAAATGTTGACATAGGTTTTTTTCTCCTTGTAAATAGATGGTTTCTGAGCTGGAAGTCACCTCTGGAATCACTTAGAGTCAATATTGTGAAGGGGTTGAGATTCTTTGCCACTCCATCTCACTGTTTAGTGTAGATCAGTGGCATTGGTAATGAGCAGCCCTGAGGCTAGGGAGGGAGCTCACAGTAGAGCATTTACCTACCATGCCTGAAGCCCTGGGTACCATCCTGAGAAACACACATGTACATGCACGCAGGCACGCATGCAAGCAAATGCACTCATGAACACACAATTCTCTCTCTCTCTCTCTCTCTCTCTCTCTCTCTCTCTCTCTCTCTTGCACGAATGTATATACACACACAGGCTTTGCCTTGAACTTTGAGCTAAGGAGAATCTCTAGCAGTGTCATGGCCCTTGCAGCTTGTACAGTGGAGCCTGCAAGAACTTGGGCCATCAGTGAGGTAGGGCCCAGAAGTCCTTCAAAAAAATTATCACATCACTCAGAGATCCCAACAGAAGGGCCTCTGATGTTCCCAGAGTTGGGACATAAAGTTGCTAATATGCCCCATTTGTCATTTGGGATTAACACATACATTTCTAAATCATTATTATTTTTGATTTTTAGGTTCAAAATCATCAAGTGGAAAGATATCCAAGTTGGAGATGTCATCCGTCTGAAGAAGAATGATTTTATTCCTGTAAATGACAAATTTCTGCTTCTCTCATTCTCCATATGCATGCCCACCCATTCCCCACCCAACCCATGTACCTCCCACCCTGGAGACCCAATGTGATGGGTGTCTTTTGTTTGGACAGGATGACAATCCTCCCATCTACCCCCATGTCCTTTCCCCCCTGAGGACCCTATGTGATGGTTGTCTTTTGTTTGGACAGGCTGACAATCCCCTACCACCCCCATGTACCTTCCACCCTGGGGACCCTGTGTGATTGGGTGTCTTTTGTTCTGAACAGGCTAACAATCCCCCACCACTCCCATGTCCCTTCCACCCTGGGGACCCTGTGTTATGGTGTCTTTTGTTTTGAACAGGCTGACATTCTGCTGCTGTCCAGCTCAGAGCCTAACAGTCTCTGCTATGTAGAAACAGCTGAGCTTGATGGGTGAGTGTGTCTCAGGTGGACCTACTTCAAAGGTGGCCTGGAAGGGAACATGCTTTGCATATTCTGGCTGGGAAACCCAAGACTTGGCCTATGCCTCAGCCACTTGTTGGCAGTCTGACAATGTTCATACTACATCAACTCCTTTTTTAAATAAAATAGAACATCCACTATGAAATGGAGCTGTTACCCACTTCCCATTAGGACCACATAATAAACCCCTTATAAACTGCTGAGCAGTGATCAGACTCACAGATGACCATGATTGCATCTTCACAAACAAGACTAGGTTCTTTTTCAGTAGGCAATTTTGAACTTGCTTATCATTTTTAGAATAAAGTACTGTTTTTTGAGCAATTTTTGGTAGATTTATTGATGACTTAATTACATGTAGACATTCCCAAGTATTAGCTCATTTAATCTTTTTAACAACTATATAATTATTACCACATGAGGAAGCTGAGGCTGAGGGAGGTGAAACAGAAATGCTAAGATCACATAGGAAGGGACAGTCAAGGCTCTGCTCCCTGTGTCCTTGTTTCTCTGACCCCAGATAATGGGCCCATTGCTTTGTGGAGGTCTAGAATCGGGAGTGGAAATCTGGCCTTCCCTTGCTTTATAGATCAGCTAGTTCATTGTCTGATCTTGGCAGCGACACAGCTCTTATTCCAAATGCTGAAGTTATCCAGAGACAGGAGGCCCCATCATGCCTTGTGATAACTGAGTGGTGGATCTGGGATCACCAATCAGCTTTCTAATGAGTGGAGTTTCTTGTGTAACTGGCAGGCTGGCTCTCCTGAGAGGATGTGCCCGCCTGCCCCCATGGAGCACTAACACTTGCTGTCCTTTGTACTGTGGTTGGAGCAGCCTTGAATGTACTCCTGCCACCTCCTTTCCTAGATAGAGTTGCCTTTCAGAAACACATCCAGTTTCGTGCTCTAGGAAGTACTAGAGTTGCCTTTCAGAAACACATCCAGTTTCGTGCTCTAGGAAGTACCGTGACAGAAGGTGCTAAGCAACCTGCCTGCACTGAGTCTGCTTTGCATACCATTGTAGTGTAGCAGCCTGCTGTAGGCCAGGTTGGGGGTAAATGGTCACTTGAAGGAAAGGCTGTGGATACTTTGTCTTAATTGGCACGGTGGCACACGGCAAAAGAAAGCAGCTTGTTTTAGGTTTATAACCTTGCTCTAGCATCAGATTGCTCCATCTAACCTTACAAGTAGAGTTTGAAAATAGAACAAGCTAAGGGCTTAGCTTCACTCACTCCCAGATAAGCCAGATGTTACTGTGTGGAATTTTCTTTTTGTTCTTTTGAGCTCCAAATTGTGCTCCTTTAACTCTACCTGCCTCCCCTTCCTTGTAGTGAAACCAATTTGAAGTTCAAAATGGCCCTTGAAATCACAGACCAGTATCTCCAAACTGAAGATAACTTGGCGACTTTCGATGGTTTGTACGGAACTTCTTTACTTTGTTTAAAAGTCTAGTTGTTTTATTTGGTGGCCATTGGTTAAACCCAAGTATTTTGTAAAACAGGTTTCATTGAATGTGAAGAACCAAACAACCGACTAGACAAGTTCACAGGAACCCTGTTTTGGAGAAAACGGAGTTTTCCTTTGGATGCTGATAAAATCCTGTTACGTGGCTGTGTGATCAGGAACACTGATGTCTGCCATGGCTTGGTCATTTTTGCAGGTACTTCCTGAATGTGCTTCCAGTTCTTAAGATTTCAAGAATGAGCTGAGTGTAGTGGTCCAGGCTTGACATCCCAGCACTCAGAAGGCTGAGGTGGGAGGACTGATATTCCAGTTAACTGGGACTGTATAGCTAGACCACAACTAAGAAGTGTTTGTAGAGGATTATTGGTGGGAAATGCTTTTCTGTTGTTTTTCTACCAAAAAATAACAGAAAGAGTAATTTTATTGACATGCTTATTCATTGAGTTTTCCAACTATTAATCACATTGAATTTTCCATTTTTTAGGTGCTGACACTAAGATAATGAAGAATAGTGGGAAAACCAGGTTTAAAAGAACGAAAATTGATTACTTGATGAACTACATGGTGTACACGGTATTTATTTTTCATTCTGGTAGATGAGAGACTAGATTAGACTACTTTCTTTTGCAATAATTTTGGTGTATGGTGTTCTAATGCAAAACAATCTTACAGCTTTAGGTAGAGCTCAGAGAGGCCTGGACACACCAAGCCTTGTAGGATGGATGGAAAAGGAGCCCCAAATCTTTTCAGAGAAATTCCACACTTCAAGCAGGACAGCTCCATTGGAGAGATAAAAGTTCAGAGGCTATCCCCAGGTGTTTTCATGGTTGGCTAGTGACTGGTTAAGAACCAGGGACACTACCATTGGTGCTCTTACCTGAGCTGTTAGGGTCAAAGCCTGAGCTCTGGCATCTCCAACAAGTTGGGCTTGGCCACCCAACATCATTAGGTCAATGAAACAGGCAAGTACTAGTTAGAAACAGAGAAAGGAGATTTCCTCAGTATGGCCACACCGGGACAAGACTCCTAAATTTGTCATTGGGGTCTTGGCATGAGGTTTAATCTCAGCTAGAAGGAAAGAAATGTGCAAAGGAAGCAGCCTTGGTTGACTCATCATTGTCTGAGCTCCAGTTCCAATCCTCCGCCTGGTACCAGGCCTCAGCCTTTTCCTAGGCCCAGCATTAGATTCCTGGGATAATTCCAACTACTTGGGGACCATTGTCTCAGTAGACTGATAGCCAAAGGGGGGCCACAAATATTTCTCTTTAAAATATCTCTCCTCTTGCCAAGAGTGTTAAAATTCTAGGAACTATAAAGTAGATTTTATTGATATTAGTTTTCCATAGGGGCAGTTATCATAAATGCAAGTGTGTGTGTGTGTGTGTGTGTGTGTGTGTGTGTGTGTGTGTGTGTGTAAACGTGCATGCCTGTCCACCTAAAGCAAGGTTAAAAATAAGGCTTGTTGAGGGTCTTCAAAACCATATCCAGGCTCAAGATTAGGAGGACCCATGGGGTTTGGCATGGTCTTACACCTGTGTCTTGCTGCAGCCCAAGGTTTCAAAATAAGATGAACAGAAAGGCCATGAAACAAAACCTAGAGGAAATTGGTTAAGATCCCACATGGGTAGGCACTCGGTTCCCTTAACAACAGATTGTGTTGTATGTGTGCCTGTTGTCCCCAGTAAAGCTCCTAAGAGGCTCTCTCAGTTGGGAACTAGGTGTGTAGGCTCCACTTACCTACCATGCTCCAAATTCCAGACTTCTTGTAGGAATACAGGTGATCAGCATAAATGATGTTGCCCAGGATGGTGATTTGTTCTTATAGGTTAGTGGTTCTCAACCTATGGCTCAAGACCCCTTGGTAGGGGTATCAAATGACCCTTTTACAGGGGTTGCATATCAGATATTTACATTATGATTTATAACATAAATGGCTTTAAGGATTGAATATAGGACATCAGCTCCTCTTTTGAAAGAGGATTTTGGGGAGAAAACCTAGCCTTATAAATGTAAAGCAATCAGTCATAATCATACACTTTTTTTTTTTTTTTTTTTTTTTTTTTTTTTTTAGGCGGGGGTTTTTTTTGGTGTGGCTTTGGAGGCTTACCTAGAACTAACTCTCATATACCAGGCTGGTCTCGAACTCACAGAGATCCGCCTGCCTCTGCCTCCCGAGTGCTGGGATTAAAGGCGTACGCCACCAACACCCGGGCTTTATATCATACAGCCTTTAAAGCCTCCCCCCATCCTGTTTTCTTCTAAGTGTAATGTTTTTAAGACCATTAAAAAGCCATATGTATATAAAGTGCTAAATAATGTTATTAGAATATTTGAAAGGTATGGAGTTGGAAATTCTGCTTTGCAATACATGTCTTCTAGATTTTTATTGTACTCATCCTGGTTTCTGCTGGTCTTGCCATTGGTCACGCTTATTGGGAAGCACAAGTTGGCAATTATTCCTGGTACCTCTATGATGGAGAAAATGCTACTCCTTCCTACCAGGGCTTCCTGAATTTCTGGGGCTACATCATTGTGCTGAACACCATGGTGCCCATCTCTCTCTATGTCAGGTAAGACTGGCCTCCCCTTGGCCTCTTGCTTTCAAGCAAGATTGTAGTGCTTTTCCCCAGTGAAGCACCCTCATCTTTAGCAATAATTGATTCAAAGGTCAAAAGGAAGAAGAAAATAAATTTCATTTTGGAACTGAGCGAGGTAGGAGAAGGGTGTGAACTTTGAGTATCTCCCCTGTGCCAGCCACATTCTATCTCGTCCTCTATGCAGATAAGGCCAGTGGTGTTCCATGATCAAAGTGACAGTCATTTGCTTGGTGAGTCATTCTCAGTGAGTTCTGAAGCACAGGGTTCAAAAAGAGTCTGTGAAAAGGTGGAAGATTCGGAATGCCATGGAAAATGCTTCATTTTCCAGAGCCTCTATTCTATAATGGAACCTTCTTTATTACAGTCACACCAGCTTTGCTCTCAGGCCCCTGCTTCCTGCTGCTACCTCCTAGAAGGAAAGGTGTCCCTGCCCTCCTTCAGCCTCTCTAACCATGTTTCTCAGTGCAATGCCAATCCTGGTCCCAACTAAGGTCAAGGTCATAGTTACCTGTTTTGTAATCACTCCTCCTTCTCATCCTTCTTCCTCTCATATCAAAGTTCACAATTATTGATTGTTGGATTTGGAGTCTTTGGAGGAGAGACCATGCCTTGTAATACATAGAGTAACCAGTCAGTCATTACCCCAATGAACAACAGCCCAGAGGCACCTGGGATCTCACAAACTCATATGTCATTAGAAGCCTTTATGTAGTTTAAATTTTATAACACTTGTATTTGTTTTTATATTTTATTTTATTACATGTAGTTACTGGTATTCTCTGAGTGGGAAATAAATCCCTGGGGCTGCCATCTGTTCAGTGGCCACTTTAGCAGAAACCAAGATGGTGGACCAAGATGGCGGTGCTAAGGAGATGGACAGCTCAGTGGGTAAAGTGCTTGTTGCACAAGCAAGAAAATGAGTTTGGATCCTCAGCACCCACATAAAAGCTGGATATGCTTGTGTGCAACTGTAAACCCAGGGCTTCATGGAGGGAAGTAGTAGCAGGGTACATGAAGATAGGCAGATCCTTGGGGCTCACTGCCCAGGAAGTCTTGCCAAAATGGTGAGCTGTAGGTTCTGTGAGGGACACCATGTCAAAATACAAGGTGGAGAACAATAGAGGAAGAACTTTGATGTTGACCTCTGGCCTTCAGATGCATTTGCACGAGCAAGCACACCAGCCTACCATGCATTGCCCTTCACAGTACTTTTTAAGATCTCTCACTCAACTAGACTGACTGATGGGGAAGCACTGGAGACCCTCCTGACTCCTCCCAGTGCTGGATTATAGGCTTAAATCGATGTATCCTGCTTCTTTTTGTGGGAGCTGAGGAATCAAACTCCAGCATTCAAGTTTGTGTGGCAATCACTTTACCAAATGAATGATCTCCCCCATTGTCTGTTGTTTGTTTTTAACAGGGCCTTTCTTTATACGCCTGCCCTAGAGCTCACTGTTCAGAACAGGCTGGCCTTGATCTTATAGCAACCCCCTGCCTCTACCACCCAAGTGCTGGGACTACACACATGACCTACCACACCTGACTGTAACTGCACTCTTTCATTTCCTTCCGGCCTTGGCTCAAGAGTTACCTCAAGCCTCTGGCCTCTATCTCAACTGATCTTAATGGTCACTTCCCCTCCTGTGGGTCTCTATCTCCTGTTCCCTGCTTTGATTTTCTACATAGACTGCATATCCCTTGAGAGTTGACATTTGCTGGATCATTTTTCTGTTTGTCTGCTTAAGAGTAGGGATTTCATCTGCTTTTTTCAAAGTGTTCAACACCAAGCAGGACTGCCATTTATAAGGAGCTTATTCCCACCTACAGGTCCTGTGCAGCCATGCGTCACCCATGTAGCAGTTGCTGGGTATGCAAACAGCCTTCCTACATCTGAGTTGTAAAATCAACATGATCCTCTTAGGATATCTCCATTTGGATGTTCTGTAGCTTCTAAGAATTTAGAAAGTGAATATATTTTTCCCAGTAAGCAACTAAGACGCTAGTTGCCAAAAGACTTGACTCATTTGAGACATGATGGTATGTCACCTAGTTCTCTTTGTGCAGGGGAAATAGGCCATCTCAATTGTCCCTAGGTATGAGAGACAATGAGAGAAAAGAGTGTGAAGATTGTATCCATGATTCTGGCCTTACTGTCACTGTTATTGTTCCCACTGGGCTATGTGTTCTAAGGGCAGAGTTCCTGGTTGTGGCTGAAATGCTCAAGTGTGAGTAGGAAGTCACACTGATGAGGTGCCATGAGTGAACACCACTGACCCTGAAGCTGGAGAGTGATGTGGCTGGTCAGGGGAGCACAGTGTGGCTTTTAAGCTGGGTGACTTTAAAAAGAACAAAACTTTATTTTTCATAGTTCAGGAGGCTGAGGAGCCAATGATCAAAAGCAGAGTTCTTTGTAAGTGGTGAGAACCCGTACTTGTGTCACAGGTGGCCCCTTCTTACATTATCTCATGGCAAAAGGGGGCAAAGAGCTCCCTCAGGCTTCTTTAATACAGATGTTGGTGCCATTTGTGATGTCTTTGTCATTAGGACCTAGCCATCACAGAAAAGCCCTATTTCAGTACTGTTGCATTGAAGGTTAGGTTTCACTATGTGGGTGTGGGGGTAACAGTTACTCTTCTCATTGGCATAACAGTATATATGGTAAAAGAATCTTTAAAAAGGAGGGATTTACTTGGGTTCATGGTTTGAGGTCTATCATGCTGGAGAAAGCATGGTGGTAGAGTACGAGACAGCTGGTCACATTGCATGCGTTCAGGAAACAGAAAGGAATACTGATATCCAGTTAGCTATCTCCTTTTTGTTCAGTCTGGAGACCCCAGCCCACCATATGGGGCCTTCCCACCTCAGGTAAAACTGTCTTGGGAACACTCTCATGAACACATTAAGAGGTGTGTCTCCTAGAGAAGTATAACGTCCTTCAAATGGACAAGCAAGATTAACCACCATGGGGCTGCAGAGATGGTTTAGCATTCAAGAGAACGCGTAATGTTTGAGTTTGATTGCAGCACCTAAGTTGGGTCACTCACATTATCCTATAACTTCAGCTCCAGGAAGACTCAACATCTGTGTCCTTAGAGCACTTGTTTTCACATGCACATACCCATACAAAGATACACACACACACACACACACACACACACACACACACACACACACACACACCAATGTGCACATGCATGAACATAATTAAAAATAAAATAAACCTATCTTTAAACAACAATTAACCATCACAGGACTGGACACTAGCTCTCAAACCAAAGCAGTAGATAAGAAACTCACTCCCATGTACATAGGGAGGGCATAATCCATTCCTGGCCAGTCCCCTCCCTGCTCACCACTGAAGCCTTCTTCTGTCCTCCTAGTGTGGAAGTTATCCGTTTAGGACAGAGTCATTTCATCAACTGGGACCTGCAGATGTACTACGCTGAGAAGGACACACCTGCAAAGGCAAGGACTACCACACTGAATGAGCAGCTAGGACAGATTCATTATATCTTCTCTGATAAGACGGGGACGCTCACACAAAATATCATGACCTTCAAAAAGTGCTGCATTAACGGGCAAATCTATGGTGAGTGTGAGGCTTGTGAAGCTGGGGGAGTCAGAACACATCCTTTTCGGGGGTGCATTTGAAGCTTGGATCATTATCTTTCTGCAGAACAACTCCAGAGATATTCTTCCACTTAGGAGGAGCAGTTATGCTTGGGGTCTGAAATAACAGACATGGTTGGCTGTTGAATAGGGGCAGAAACAGGTGCTCTCTGGAGCAGAGCCTGCCTCCTGTGGTTGTTGGTACCCTCCCTGTGTGGAGTCCAATTGCCAAAGAAACATCATGGGCATTGTTGACAACAGATAGACAGAGAGAGAGAGAGAGAGACAGACAGACAGACAGACACACACACACA